TAATATTTATTTTAAAAAAATAGTGGGATACCTAATTTAGGCAAACAAAGCATAGAAAGTGAATGGAGTGTAGGTTTACAAAAAAAGTGATTCCATAGGAAATTTTGCAGGTGGTATAACTTTCATATACTAAAAGCCAAACTTGCGCCTCCTTTTGCGTTTTATATTTTTGGTTCATTTTTATTGCTTTTTGAGATGAAAATCTAGTTAGCATCAATATCTCATATTCGATGACTATTTTATAAAATCCATGTTACTCTCAAATGGACATACTGGTTTATGGGATTTAGTATTAATGAAGCAAACTTCAATTAATAAAATTAAAAAGGTTTGGATAACTTGTGTAGTCTGTATTGTTTCACCAATGTTTCTCTATTCATACAGATTGGTTCTTCCTTTTCAATATTCTTACTAGGAAATATTATGTCAGTAACAGAATCAAAAATCTTCTATAACAGTGCCGGAAATTCAAAAGAAAATACATATAATAATGTGAATGCAGAAACGAAATAAAAAATTAAGATTAATATCCTTTATACAATAATTTAAAAGTATTAAATAATATTACGGAATAAATTTTCTAAAAAAAATACGAGAAATGGAAAAAATAAATGAAACTATAAAATATCTAGTATCTACTTGCCGTTTTCTTGTGGATCGGGTTCGAGAACCAGGTCGTTTTGATCTGAAATTGTTAAATAAGGAATGAGGTATATTACCCTAATAAGAACATCACACTATATTACCGTTACAGAAGCAAAGGTTGGTAGAAAACCGAAAACAACCAATGGAGTACAAATTTTAAACCAATACAGTTATTTAAAATAAAACTACTTACTATTTTTCTTACCCTTTGGGAACCTGTGAAAACAATCTATAAAGATAATAACATCATACAGATCACAATTTCATGCATAATCAGTAATATAAAACACATCATAAACCCGAATTCATTGACAATAATTGACTATCACCGTTTCTCGTTTTTTGCCAGCCTACTAGTATCCATGGGGATCCATAGGGGTCCCTGCTACACGTGAATCATTCCCTTTAAATAATCTTAATTCCAGGGGCGTCCCCATACCCCGTCTGGTATGAGGGTGAAGCGTTCGTCCCCATACCTCGTCCGATATGAACGCCAAATGACCAAGTCTTCATACCCCGTTCGGTATGAGACAACGTTCACGGTAAGATTCCCTATGAACCCGATCCGTCCATCATCTCCCAGGATATCTAGTAAAGCTGTCATCTTATCCATTTATCAAATCAAATCTCATTCCTATTTGTCCTTAGTCTCCGTTACCAACTCAAACATAAATACATAAACAAGTAACGTGCATCCAACAAAGTAAGCATATCTTAGATTTCCAAAATCAAATAGTAGTGAAGTAAGCAGTGATTTATGCATTTAAAACCATAGAATAGATAAATCAGATACCATAATGCATTTAAACTGTAAAATAAATTAAGCAGGAATCGACAGGGAATAATGTTTCAATTTCGAGCTCCATTAGCAACCTTAATTAATTATACATATCTATTAATTGCACAAAATACAGTATTACCATTTATTCGAACTTTAATTCTATGATAGGAAATAGAGTGAGGGGTCTTTACTTGATTTGACGCCGAAAACTAAATTTTCACTGCGCCTACGGGCGGTCCCTGGATTTCCTGAATTTTTTTCGGGAACTGAAACGCGCTTACGGTACCTACACATGTCCCAAATAACCCAAAAATCAGACCCAAGGCCTAATCGGCCAATTTCAGAATTCCGGCACGGCGGCTCCGCCGTGCTTTGGCGACAGAGCCGCTGCTCGCGGCGGTGATCTGCCTCGGGTTGGCCGTTTTCGGCCAAATTCAGCCAAACTTGAATCGGTTCCTGTGAGAAAACACACTTAGGGCCCTCGGTGGGCCGAAAAAACACAGAAAACCGAAACTTACCGGCGGTGGGGCTCTCCGGTGGGGCGGCTCCTCTGGCTCACGTCGCGGTTGGGTGTTTTGCTCTGATCAACCTGTAGAGGAGGAAACGGTGATCATAATGGTGAAAAAATCACATCGAACGGGAATCGGGAATGGGCTCATCGGAGGCAAAAATCGAGATACTCAGCGACAGCGCCGCTGAGCTTCAGCAGCGTTTTCTGGCCAATTGGCCGGTGCTTTCGCTCCGATTTAGCCATATGTGGGTTTAGAATCAAATTATGAGCAAATAGTAGAATTTTTATCTCGTTTGGCGGCCGAAAATTGCTCCGGTACGGCAGCATGTGGCAGCAGTCAGCTCTCCGGCGAGGGACTCTGGCGGCTAGGGTTAGGGTTTGGGTGCGGATAAGGTTATTTATACTCATCCACTTTTGATCTGAGCCGTCCATTGCTTTTAATCTGTACCGTCCGATCACGATTAAATAATGAATGAATCTGTACCGTTCATCGTGATTCAATCTGAGCCGTCCGTGCGCGATTCAATCTGAACCGTCCGTACGCGATGCAATCTGGGCCGTCTGTGCGCATTTTTTATCTGGACCATCCGTGCGCGCGGGAACGGATCTCAACCGTTCGATCGTGCGCACGCGGATCGCCCACGTGGCTCCCTCCCACGTGGCATCCTGCGTCAGCGTCTTTGCCACCTGGGCGCGTCCTGGTTGGCCGGGGCTGCTGATTGGGCAGCTGGGATGGCACAACTTTTTCTACATTGCGTTTTGACCCTCGGTTTTCGAGTTTCCTTTTAAAATATCCTC